ACACACATATACTATACAAATTCAATACACATAAATTTTTTTGTTGTCCAGTCATGTCTGACTCTTTGTGAGGTCATTTGGGGTTTTCTTGGCAAACATATTAGAATAGTTTGCCATTTCCTTCTCCAGCTCATTTTACAGATGAGAAAACTGGCAAACAAGGTGAAGTGACTTGCCCAGGGTCACACAGCCAGGAAGTATCTGAGGCTAGATTTGAACTCATGAGTCTTCCTGCCTCCAGGCCCCAGCACTTTGTCTACTGTGCCATCTAGCTGCCCCTATGTGGGTGTGCATATACACACACATGCGTACATACATACACACATGCATGCATCCACACATATATAGCTAGGTCTTATTTAGTGAGAATAATGAATCCTGTGAAGTAATCGCATAATTTGAATTTTCATTGTATATTTCCATTGAGCTGAAACCAATTACCATATTTTACATATAATTATATCTCAAATACTATGAATTCAAACAATCCAAACTGCTTCAAGAGCTATCTGGGGAGCAAATCTGTGCTTTTATTAGAATAGGACATTTCTGCTAAGGAAATGCTCTCTAATGGTGCAGAGTACTAACCTTAATTGCAAGGACACAAAGAGATTAAGTGACAGGCCCAAGGTCACATAAATAGTACATGTCAGAGGCAAAACTTGAATTCAGGTCTTCTTGACTCTAGCAAAGGTCAGGATCTTTTTGTCCCTAAAACTACACATACACATACACACTTATATGTATATGTATGAGTATACATAGATACATGCACACATGTATGTATATGTGTGTTTATTATATATTATATAATATATACATATACTCAATGCCACTAATGGATGCTCTAAATCTATAATTGGAAGAATGTGGGGGGACAATAGGGCACACTACAATTAGAGGGTACTGTGAGATCGTCAAGAATCAAGGGCTAAATTGTATGGAACAGGAGCTAAGACAAACAGCATAGAGATGGTGAAATTGGGGGATGGAGGCAGGAAGGAAACTGACTTAACTGGAGGAGAATTTCAGTTGAGGAATATTAGCAGATAAAAGGAGAGATGTGAAGTGTGGAGAATGTTTCTTTTTCTTGGAAAAGTGAGGGGCTGCAAGGGCAGAATATCACATATACTGTCAGACTTGGTTGCTACGTCCATTTGTTTTCCTTAACTTTCTTTTTCTTTCTTTCTTTCTTTCTTTCTTTCTTTCTTTCTTTCTTTCTTTCTTTCTTTCTTTCTCTCTCTCTCTCTCTCTCTCTTTCTTTCTTTCTTTCTTCCTTTCTTCCTTTCTTTCTTTCTTTCTTTCTTTCTTTCTTTCTTTCTTTCTCTCTCTCTCTCTCTTTCTTTCCTTCTTCCTTCCTTTCTTCCTTCCTTCCTTCCTTTCTTTCTTTCTTTCTTTCTTTCTTTCTTTCTTTCTTTCTTTCTTTCTTTCTTTCTTTCTTTCTTTCTTTCTTTCTTTCTTTCTTTCTTTCTTTCTTTCTTTCTTTCTTCCCAAGGAGAGAAGGAGGTGATTAAATGTAGAAATCATGATATATGAACCAAAGGCTTCAATAAAACATCAAATTTTGAAATAGTTAGTTTTCAAAATAATGAAAAAATAACCCTTCTTTCTTGTTTTGTTGTCTCTCTCTCCACCCCTCCTGTCCCAATGATTCCAGGTGTTCTCTGCCTGCCAGACAGCCTGACCCTTCACCGAGACCCCCAGAGGCCAAACAAGCCTGGAGAGCTGCCCATGTTCAGCCAGTCAGAGCTAAGGACCATCGAGCAATCCCTGCTGGCCACCCGAGTGGGCAGCATTGCAGAACTGAGTAAGTAAGGAAGGGACTCGGCCTGCTTGTGATCTGGCCAAGTCTCCTTTGTCTTCTTACGGACCCTCCCTGTGCCCATACTCAGGGTTTAGGGCCAGAAAGATGTATTTCCAGCAATGAATTAACCAGCTATGACTTGTGGGCTACCATAGGCAAAGAACAGTGGGAAGGGTCTTGGGAGATAATAATAACAAATACTCATAGAGTATCTTCAAATTTCCAAAGTGATTTATAAATGTTATTTCATAGGATTATAGATTGAGGCTAGAAAGTTAATTTCTTGACTTTATGTGTGGCAGCTAGGTGGCACAGTGGATAGAGCGTTGGTCCTGAAGTCAGGAAGACCTGAGTTCAAATGGGGATTCAGACACTTCCTAGCAGTGTGACCTTGTTACAGATGAGGAAACATAAGGAGCCCAGAGAAATTAAATGACTTGACCAAGGACACACAGCAAGTAAGGATCTAAGGCAGGAATTGAATCTAGGTCTTCCTGATTCCAAGTCCATTTTGGTAGTCCCTCTCACTTAAGCCTTACAAGTTTTCTTCATGAAAAAGGTGGCATTTGAGTTGGGCTTTAATGCATGTGATGGGCAGCTAGATGGCACCATAGTGGATAGAGCAAGGGCTTGGAATCAGGAAGACTCATCTTCATGAGTTCAAATCTGGCCTCAGACACTTCCTAGCTGTGTGACCCTGCACAAGTCACTTCATCCTGTTTCCCTCAGTTTCCTCATCTGCAAAATGAGCTGGAGAAGGAAATGGCAAAGCGCTCCAGCATCTTTGCCAAGAAAACCCTAAATAGGGTCGAAACGACTAAACAACAAATTAAATGATATACAAGAAGCCAATAAAAGGGAAGGGAGTCATTCTTGGCATGGGAAAGAGTAGCCTGAGCAAAGGATAAGCATGTGGAAGGAGCAGTTGGGTTGGAATGTAAAGATCATGAAAGAAAGTAATAGGAGATAAGACTGGAAAAATAATGGCCCCCATGTTATGGGGGCCTTGAATGCCAAGATGAAGATCCTCAGCTTGCTCAGGAGGCAGAAAAAAAATAACTAAAGAATTCTGAATGGAGCAGCTAGGTGGCACAGTGGACAGAGCACCAGCTCTGGAGTCAGGAAGACCAGAGTTCAAATCTGGCATCAGACACTTCCTAGCTATGTGACTCTGGGCAAGTCATTTAACCCCAATTGCCTCACCCCCAAAAAAATTTTAAAAAGAAGAATTCTGAGGAGAGGGATGATGTGACCAGATTTATGCATAAAAGGACACAGCTTCCTATGTACAAAAATATTTATAGTGGCCATTTTTATAGTGGCAAAGACCTGAAAACTAAGGGGGTGCCCATCCATTGGGGAATGGCTGAACAAATTAGGGTACATGAATTTTTGATGAAATATTATTGTTCCATAAGAAATGATGGAAGGGATGGTTTGGGAGAAACCTGAGAGGATGTGTATGAACTGAAGCAGAAGGAAGTAAGCAGAACCAGAAGAATGACTCAGAATAACAACATGGTAAAAATGAACAACTTTCAAGAACTCCAATCAATGCACTAATCACCCATGATTCCCTAGGACAGCCTCTACTTATCCATTCAGGGCTGTTCAGTATGCCACCTGCTTTCCTGACTGCCCAGGGTAAAGAAACTCATATTGTTTTTACTTAGGATCCCACTGCTTGGTTGATGATTGAATGGTGTGTTCATTCCTAATGGAATTGGAGCATGGATCCCAGGAAGGACAGATTAAGCTCATGGGAATTGAATTCTGGTACAGGATTGTCTCTGTACCTCAAGACACAGGGTTCCTTGCAATTTCTTTTCAATGAGCTAGCTATATAGATGGGTAGATACATGGATGGATGGATAGATAGATAGATAGAAAGATAGACAGACAGATTGATGGATAATAGATAGTGGACCTATAGGTAGATAGAAGTATAGATAGATGGGTAGGTATAGATTATAGTTAGACATACATACATACATAAACAGATACATAGATAGTTCTCAAGTAGCCACATGTATATCTATATCTACATACATACATGTATAGCAGAATGGATAGAGTTGACCTTAGTTGTGTATACACACACACACACACACACACACACACATATACACACACACAACATATATTTAGCTTATTATAAAGGACCTCAGTATCCCTCAGATTAGGTGATCAGAGAATTTTAGAGTTTGAATCTCATTAGATTGTAAGCTCCTTGAGGGCAGACTGTCTTTTGCCTTTCTTTGCATCCACAGTACTTAGCATAGTTTCTGACTCGTAATTGGTGCTTAATAAATGCGTATTGCTTGCTTGATTAGAAGAGATCTTGGAAATCTATTGCTGCCAGTACACAACTTTCTAGCCTGGGTTGGATGTCAAGGGCAAGGAAAAAGTCCAAAAGAACTCCAAACATATGGTGATACCATCCTCCCGGACCGTTGTTACTGTACTGTGAAACTTTGATGGATCTATGGTTTCACTGATGTGGAAACGCCTTCCAGTGGGGCCCTTCTGTGCATTTTCATTCTCTGTAATTCTTGTCCACCTCTTTCCAAGAGTCCTCCATAGGGGATCTACCCAGTGTGTTAGCGTCCTTGGATTCATAGGGTCAGAGCTTTCAGGCTGGAAGTGACCTAAGAGCCAATCTAGTCTGACCCTTTTCATTTTATAAGTGAGGAAACTGATGTTCAGTGACTGGTCCAAAGGCATACAGGTCAGAAGAGGTAGATATGGCACCTGAACCCCTGAGCTCCAACTCCAGAGCCAGTATTCTTTATCTAGTACCCCACTTACTTCCTCTGATTCTTCAGACATTTCAGAAATAGCAGAGATGCCACTCCTGGACTGACCCCCTCACTTTGATTACATGAATGAGATAGAGACAGAGAGACAGAGAGACAGAGAGACGGAGAGAGAGTGTGTACACATTTATTAAGTGCTTGATATATGGCCAGCACTGTGCTTAAAACTGTGCAAACAAGACAGCCCCTACCCTCAAGGAGCATACATTCTAAGGGGGGAATACATATAAAGGGATACCAGAAAGCAGGGGATGAGGAGGGAGAATTACCCACATGAAGGCAAGGCTATCAGAGGAGGGAAAGAGAAGTCCAGAGAAGGAAGAATGGAGTCCAAAGTGGATGAGCATGGCTTGAGTTGATCAGATCAATGGTTCTCAATGAGTATGCTGTGATAAACAATCATATCACCAGTTTTGCTAGATAAGCTGTGAAAATTGTATATTATTGTAGATAACAGAAAATTTATAAATAATTTCCATATAAATTGTACTAACCCAGCACACATAGTAAAATAAGTACAGTATTTTCATAGTAAACAAAACTAGTCTATTATATGCATATCCTAACCTTCCAAAACACATCAAAGCTTGAACCTGCTGAGCCCTCAACAAAAAAGACTAGTCCTTTTGAGAGGAAATTGTGCATGTGCAAAGCCTTCAACCCCTAGGAGTCTCACCATCTTAAATATTCAGGGTGCTACAGTTCCTCATAACAAAATTTACTATGTCAAAAGCAACAGCTGTCTGAGAATCGTTGGATGAGGATTGAAGAGGTGAGGGAAAGGGAAAGGGAAAGGTCAGAGACCAGGGAGAGACCATAGACTCCATCTAGGCCAAGAAGGCTGACTATAGCTAGAGAAGGAGGAAAAATCAGAGCCTAGTGGGAAAGATCCTCACCTACCAACTACCCAACACGGGGACAAAAAGAGACACTTTCTCTAGCTTGGTGTCGTTGGGGCAAGTAAATATTGATTGAGGCCCCACCCAAGGCAATGTTTTAGGCTCTGTGAGGGCTTACAAAGAAGAGAGGACCTCGGTCTTCCCAGGCAGTTAAGGCTACAGATGGGTAAAAGATTTCTGATGATATGAGGCTTCACATGATAAGGAATTTAAGGTAATTTAGCAGAACCAAATCATGAAGCAAAAACTGGAACAAATTACACCAATTTGCTAAATCAGGAACCAAATCAAAGTTTTATCTACAGAAATAGAATATATCAGAGGCAGGACAGGTGGTAGAAGAGAGAAAGTCCCAACTGGAAGGGACCTTAGAACGTGGAATGTCAACCTTGGGAGGGGCCCAAGAGTTAAAGATGTAAAGGTTCTGAGAACTTAGAAGATCAGAGCTAAGAGAGACCTCAGGACACAATGTCAGAGCTGGGACGTCCCTTAGTGATCATTTAGTAGGACTGCCTGACTTTATAGGGAATTGATTCAGAAGGGCCGAGTGCCTTGCCAAGGTCTTATATTGAGCTAGCTGCATCCTGATCGCTGTACTATATTGCCTTCTTAAAATTGGAATTGAATCTTTAAATTTTATAATACGATGGAGCCTGGGGGGAAAAAACCAGGTCATTATTTTATCGTCCAGAACAATATTCCATTTGGCCCAAGTCCCCCGATAACCCACAGGTTACATCCCAGTCGAGGCAGGGAGAGGGCATCTGTGACTTAGCAGAACACAAGATTTAGCTATGTGACCATTGTCAAGTCACTTATAATTTCTCTCAGCCTCAGTTTCCTCATCTGTCAAAAGGGGATAATAATGACTTGCGCTGCCTGACAGTCAGCCTTATTATAAGGAAAGTACTTTATAAAGTATTATATAAAATATTTTATATATGATTATATAAAGTATTTTATATATAATACTTTATAAAGTATTATATAAATTATATATAAAGGGACTATGGTCCCTAAAGGACTATAGATGTGTTCATTGTTATTATTGGTTCATGATTGGGTTAGCAGGCTGGTCCTTCTCTCCCTGCACCAGCCACTGGTACTGGGGACCTGGTGTTCAGGCTTCCTACGATGGCTGCTAGGCTTAGCTTGAAGGCTAAAATGAATGAATGAATGAATGAATGAATGAATGAATGAATGAATAGTGAAAGACAATCAGTCCTTTGTATCACCTTTTTGCTAGATCAGCTGTTTTCTCATTTTCTTGAGGACATCATTTTTTTAA